AATAGCGTTGTATACATAGCGTTGTATACATTCCTCCTATACATACAAATCGACCCATAGCGTTGTATATATCCCCTCTATACATACAGGTCTATCCATAGCGTTGTATACATCCCCCTAGACTAAGGCTTAGTCTCTGAATATATATAATTTGGATAGTAACAAACAAGCCCATTTATATTGAAAAGGAGCCCTAGGGAGACCAGAGATTCAGAGGACCTGAGGAAATCTAGACTTGCTTTATTTAGGGCTTTAGCACTGCAGAGAGGGCTAGGCAGTAGGGAAAATTATGTTGTTCAGGGACTGTGAGACAGACTAACATCCCCCCTATACATACAAATCGATGCATAACGTTGTATACATCCCCCTTATACATACAGGTCGATTCATAGCGTTGTATACACCCCCCTATACATACAAATCGATCCATAGCGTTGTATACATTCCTCCTGTACATACTAGTCGATCCATAGCGTTGTATACATCCCCTCTATACATACAGGTCGATCCATAGCGTTGTATACACACACACCCACACACCCCTATACATACAGGTCGATCCATAGCGTTGTATACATCCCCCCAATACATACAGGTCGATCCATAGCGTTGTATACATTCCTCCTGTACATACAAATCTATCCATAGCGTTGTATACATCCCCCTATACATACAGGTCGATCCACAGCGTTGTATACATCCCCCTATACATACAGGTCGATCCATAGCGTTGTATACATTCCTCCTGTACATACAAATCGATCCATAGCGTTGTATACATCCCCTTATACATACAGGTCGATCCATAGCGTTGTATACATCCCCCAATACATACAGGTCGATCCATAGCGTTGTATACATTCCTCCTGTACATACAAATCTATCCATAGCGTTGTATACATCCCCTCTATACATATAGGTCGATCCATAGCGTTGTATACATCCCCCTATACATACAGGTCGATCCATAGCGTTGTATACATTCCTCCTGTACATACAAATCGATCCATAGCGTTGTATACATTCCTCCTGTACATATATACAAATCGATGCATAGCGTTTTATACATTCCCCCTATACATACAGGTCGATTCATAGCGTTGTATACATTCCTCCTATACATACAAATCGATCCATAGCGTTGTATACATCCCTCTATACATACAGGTCGATTCATAGCGTTGTATACATTCCTCCTATACATACAAATCGATCCATAGCGTTGTAGACATTCCCCCTATACATACAGGTCGATCAATAACGTTGTATATATTCCCCAAATACATACATATCGACGTATACGTATCCCAACCCTTTCCCCACATGGATCAATCTGGATGGTAAGGGTTAGGGACGTATACAACGATATTGCTCGATCTGTATGTAGAGTACAACGAATGTGAGTCAGCTGGAGAGACACAGATTTTGAATCACCAGAGGTAACACGGAATGATTGTTATAGGCCTCTCTGTGTCCACATCACGACAGGAGAAAGCAAGTAACGGTTTTACAATGTGTACGAGTGGGGACTCGAACGTGATATAGTGCGGTGGGACGACCAAACGCTTTAACCATGAGGCCATCCAACAGAAAATACATGTTACCTGAACGCTTACGTCAACATGACAGAAACTGAACACCACTACTTTTCAGCTGAGTGCCTGTCTTCCGCTTGAACGACATATATCTGTAGATATTCTACCTATCAGACATACAGCTGGCAGCATGTCTAGCCACTGACAGGCCATCACAACGTGACAAGCACAAATGCATAAAATCAAACGGTCTGTGATACCCCGTGAATAAATTGTGAAATATAATCGGTATCGGTAAACAAACGCGGGAATTATATCATTCAGAATTCAATAAGGCGAACGGTAAAATCATTGGGTGAAGTGACATATGGTGATCACCAGCAATTTATTATTGTGTATTACAGATAAAAACGATAGATTGCAGGAACGAAGTGAATGGATCTGACAATCATATATGCTATCATGCAATATTTTACTTCAATTGAAGATGATGACATTTTCTCATACGGAAGTTGATTTATGGCTTTGGGAGTTTGACAGAAATAGCTGGTACAAAGATGTTTAGTAAATTGAAAGCAATCTGCAAATTCCCGGCGGAGCCGACATGAGTTATGCGCCGTCAGAAAAGGATCATTTCCTCGTATCCCAGGACCCGAATAACCAACTAAGATATCCCTTCACTAACTTAAACTGGCAGCCCCTCTACGTATTCCAACTCAGCAAAAACAGCTTGTCAGAAGTTCTGCTGCAAATAATGACCCAGCCATCAAGAGCTATTTGCACAACTCAAATTAGCGTCGAATGATGAATAGTTTGCATGTTATGTACAAAGCACTTACAAATTGTTTCAATATAGCTGTATGTCTTTCGAGGGGTTCTCAGAAAGGAGTTATCTTCCCTGCCTGTTCGTTCGCCTTGAACGCCATCATGTTGTAAACTGGCTGAGAGAGTGGTGGTGTTTGGTAACAAACAATCAACCGTAATCCCAGTGGTTTCTGCAAAGTCTGTCATTGTGATATTACATAATTTCTTTCAAGCAATCTTCTGAAGCGTCCGTCTGTCTGTCTGCCTGTTGCTCCAGGGACGCTGTTGTATTTGATCCCGGTATTTCTTTCATAACATGGAACTGAGTTATCTTGAATTCCGCCAATAGAAACTCTCCATTAGCTAAACTGCAATTCCCAATAACGCCTCATGATCAGTTCTAGTTGAGGTTGATTTTGTGAACTTGACTTTTTTCCACAAGTTTGTCAGAATGTTGCTTATCAGTATATATGTTCAGAGACCATATTATATGGTCTCTGATATGTTGTACGACTATTAAATAATAAGACTGTTGAGTCTTTTCTGCGTTCTTCTTAGATCAAAATAATCCACCTTTTTACGGTTTTCATCATTTGGTGATGTGTTGGAGAAACCCAAGTTCATATTGATAGAACCATGCTAATAGCTCTCATGTCTTTAGCCCACTTTAATTTACTGTGTTCACCAGGTCTGGTCTTTCAAATATCTCAGCATAATATGTCAGCAATTGGTAATGTATACGCTAAACCATCTTGGTATCGATTAATTAATAACATATGGACATGTTCTGTGTTAAGATGTTACACACAGAAAGTATAAGGCAAATTAGTAGAGTAATATCAGCCGAACATTGCTTACTTTAAGATTCTAAAATGACAACACAACTCTGAAGCTACGATACAGAACGTTTATACGCCATTCCCGTGACGTATTTATCATCTTCTGAGGTCACATAAAAATAAAAGAGAAAAGTGCAATTCATATAAACGACAGGCCGAAGATATTAATGTTACTGGAAGGGAGGTAACTGCTGTGGTAGGCCAAACAGTTCTACGTTGGACATAGAGGCGTGCAATAAATCATTTGTAAACTGCCTACCTGGGTAATAAACTTCAATGAGACAAACAATGAAGTATCAATTACTGACAGGCCGTGTTCTGCGCCTCATTGTGAGCCGCGTCAGGTACCCAGTCGCGCGTGACAGTTCCACAAACAAACCACGACATGAAAGAAGGCCGCAGTCACCTTCTCTTTCATAATTCTAAAGGGTTTGATATAGATCAACTTCCAGCAAAGCTCCCTGACAGCACTATACGGCTCTGACATCAGTCGACCAATATCTATCAACTTCAAATACACACACGTCCACATTTGCAATCTGATAACTAAGATAAATTAGACGGACTTGTGAATATCACATTAGATTCCAACGTCCCGAGGTCTTCAACAATTCCTGGTATATTTCATCGAGGATATCTGATGTGGGGCGTTATAAATGTGGAAGAGAATATGTTTTGCTGAGTGAGATGATCATAATGGGTATTAATAATGTACTGTCATCCTGACTTGTCAGACACATCAGTAGAAACGCGCATTAATTAAACCGTTACACGTCCTACCTCTCAAATGATGATTGGGACCTTCAACCTTCATCCTATCAATCTTCCGGAAATACAATATAATCACCATATACCACGCATAACGCCTCATTCCATCTGTCTGGAGATACAGGTGTTGGCCGTCGGCGTCTGTGTACAACATGGCAATAGGTACAGATAGGTATTGGTGTTGCGTACCGTCTGAACCCGCCGAGTAACCCGAAATCGAAAACCGTTCAATCAAAATTTACCGTTTTCACTAGGTGTAAAAAAGTCGATGGTAAATAGATGTTGATATATGTTACATTTGTGTGTTCGTTATCAACGTTAGATTATCATGGAAGACGTTTCCGTTAAGGTAATTTGAGTGGTGTGCCTTCTATAGGCTGACTTCCAGGAACTATGGAAGGGAGATAACCACGGTTGCCAATTCCTGGATCAATACAGGGTGTGTGTATGTAACATCATCAATGGGCAGTGGGCGAGATAAGCATGGAAGGAAAGACTGGGGGAGGTTTGAGAAGGGGTGAAGAAGGGGAGATGGTGAATAAAAATAAGAGGGGATAAGACACGTTTGTTAATTGCCTACCACTCCGCTGAACTCTGACAAGTTAGGAAAGAACCCGTATGTACGCAATATGACACATGATATATTGTGTCAGTCTTTACCCATGCACGTGTAGCAGTCATCTAGTAAAGTAAATTGCTGTTTGTTGCACATGCGTAGTATCTACAATAAAACCCATTTCATAAATGAAAATATCCCCCAATTCCTAAACAATGCCATATAACGCTACATAGACTAAGGCTTAGTCTCTGAATATATATAATTTAGATAGAAACAAACAAGCCCATTTATATTGAAAAGGAGCCCTAGGGAGACCAGAGATTCTGAACCTGAGGAAATCTAGACTTGCTTTATTTAGGGCTTTAGCACTGCAGAGAAGGCTTGGCAGTAGGGAAAATAATGTGGTTCAGGGACTGTGAGACAGACTAAACGCTACAGTGCAGGTAACGATCTGTCAATCATAGGGTTTTCCGTTGACAAAGGCGGATGTTTGTCTGTGTAAGACAACCCAACACAATAGTGCCAGTGAACACATGTTTCAGTGTGACAGAAAACAGATGTACACAACAGATCCACGATGAGCATTGCTAGAAATATATTCAGATTGGAAAATCTCACCCTTGCTATTGTACGCTTGTAAGTTCAGTGTTACCTAGAACACCAGCTGTTGCTGTTGATTTCTTGAAATTACCATGATCTGGTAGCGTCAAGGACGATCCAGTGCGAGGCATTTGCGCTTATTCTGCAGTCCTATACATTACATTAGAGGAAGGATACCTTAAACACTGCAACATGATTTGTCCACTGAGCCAAAAGGTTAGAGCTGGTCCTACAGTCTCAGCTCACCCATGCTAACATTAAAACGCTGTATATGTCAAATCAATATTCATAGTCAGAACAAGAAAGGTATTGATATGTCTGAACTGATGGCGGCTGACTCCCTTGTGATCTGTGGTCGGTACGAGATGCAAAGAAACGTGAATTCTGATCATAATTCCTACAGTCAGATTTTCAGGCTTACGAGCAAGCCAGACCGATCAGTTATTTCCATTGCATTTGCGCCAGTATTCAGCAGTAAAGGCTATTACCGATATAAACATCAATTCAGACAATCTTTCAGACTTTATATAAACGCATTTATATTGTATAAGGTTGTCTTGGTGTGTCCTGTTGCATGTAGAGTTGTAATCAGACGTGTCCTCAGCTCAACGTGCGCGTCTTGGGTGTCAAAAGGTTAGTCAGCACACAGGGAGGTTGTCCTTTAGCGGAGGATCTCCGTGATGTGTCCAATAACTTGTAGATAAATCACCGCGGGGATGTCTGCCTGGCACATGATATTAGATCAAAAGTCTTGAGCCATTCAATCAATCATTCCCCCTTGGCCTGAGTTGAAATCCTGTTCCTTCATCATCCAGTCCACACACGGCGTCGAGCACACACGATAGATCAAAAGTTTCTACTCATTCACGTGTGATTAACAAGTCCCTCGCTGCTTATCAGACGATCCAAACGTCCATGACAGTTGCCTGTGTTCGGAGTCACTGAAGCAGACGACAAACATGAACGACATTGTGTATCTTCGTCATCCAATCTGGGGGGCTGACATGGGATCTGACGGCTGTACCATAGGTTCTGATTGCCCTCAACAAGGTTCGCTTAACACATTGACAAGCCAAGAAACACTGTCCGTCATGGGTAGTTGCGCCAAATGCCTTGTGCGCACCCTGTGGTGGGTAGGGATTATCATATCCGGTTCCGTCGTAAAGTACCAGATACGATCTGCCAGAAAATCGCCGACAGATCGCAGGGCTACCGTTTTCCAGTTGCGTTACAACTTTTCTTCTTTTCTTTCAAGGGTCAGCTCACCGTTAACCTTCTACCATTTGAGCCAACAAACTTGCCTATCTGTGGGTATTGTGAAAAGGTAAAACGGCCCTCCTGTATGGAACAAAACAGAGATTGTCTGTGGTAGAGTGAGTGTGTCAACATGGCAGGTCAGGTGAGAGAGCAGACGACAGATATCCACCTCCAGCAAACATCAAAGACAGATATGTTTGGCCTTAATGGTGATCGTTGACATGATCCCCAACAGGGGAAGCGTCAGGTAGTCTATATGGGATTAGGGAGCCACTTGGTGATCTCTTTTACCAATTGGACGCCCGGGGCTTGTCGTCGCACGCTCCTCGCTGTAGCAGGAATGACCCATAACCCTAAACACATTGTGCTGAGCGCTCTACACGTTGAGGAATCAATCTACACCACGCAGACACATAGTCAATATATGCAGATTATGAAACCTTCTCAGACAAGGCCATTAACAAGGTTGTTTAGAAGGTGGTTGGCAGGCTCGTTGAGAGGGGTTGTTTAATGTTATTCATGATAATCAAGAGATGATGTGAACATATTGATGCGAAACTAGAATAAGTATCTTTCTTTTTAAAATAACAACAGTGGCCATTCACGACGCATCTCCATTCTACAAGATTAAACTCCGATTGTATAACAGGAGGTGTCATCACCAATACTGTCAAGCGGAACTACATGTATGCTAGTACATTGTGAGGTGGTGGGGTAGCGTAGTGGCTAAAGCGCTCGCTCGTCACGCGAAAAAACAGGGTTCAATTCCCCACATGGGTACAGTCTGTGAAGCCCATTTCTGGTGTCTCCCGCCGTGATATTGCTGGAATATTGCTAAATGCGGCGTAAAACTACCCTCACTCACTCACTCACTCACTCACATGTGAACATTGCCCAATAATAACACAGTGACTATATTTACTTTAGGTGGAGTCTGGAGTAGGCAAACCGGTTATTGAAAGTTAGTTTTCTGACACGTTAGTAACCTAGCCATCACAACCCCATCGTAAACGTCCACCTTCATGGGTAAAATATTACAAAAAGCTGCTTTAAAAATCATTCTAACTCGCATTTATGTGACAGTTAACTCATGTTTTGTGGCCTCGTTTTACATTTGCCGGGATGCTATAAACCAAGTGTGAACTGAGGGAGAGCATGTTGTGTGACAACGGTAGGCTATGAAACGTTTTGTTTGTACAATACGTTCCAAGTGTTACCTACTGTACGTCTGGGCGCCGAAAGTTTTATTTGATTGTGTCAAACTGCAGCAGAAGATCCCTGACTAGCCGCCATTACGCCTTGAAGTATTCGTGTTTCTCGGCAGTAAAGAAACAAGTTATAACACATTACGAGTAACCGTGAAATATACATTCCAAAGAAGTTTTTCAACAATTTCAAAATGCTGACAAGACTTAATGAAAAGTGAATCCCTTGACTCGGAGCTGAAGTATGCTAACTAATCTTGTTGAGCAAACTTCAGACATTTGGTCTCAGATGAAAACTGAAATAACGTGTGCTATATTCCAGTGGAAAATATAAGGGAATGTTTGTGGTGTGGTGGTGTGGTGGCGTGGTGGTGTGGTGGTGTGGTGGTGTGGTGGTGGTGGTGGGGTAGTGTGGTGGGGGTGGTGGTGGTGGTGTGGTGGCGTGGTGGTGGTGGTGGCGTGGTGGTAGTGGTGTGGTAGTGTGGTGGTGGTGGTACGGGGATGAGAAGAGGAAAGTGGGGAGGATGGGACTTTGGGGTGAATGGTTGGTATGAGGATGGAGGTAGGGCTGGGGTAGATACGGTGATGTTGGCGATGTATATGAATACACCATGCAAATCAGATAACTCGTTCATCCAGGAGAAAGAATTGTTGATTTGTTGTGTTTAGAGATTGAGTTTAGTTTCACGCCGCACTCAGCAATATTTCCATTTATATGGCGGCGTTCTGTAAATAATCTAGTCTGGACCAGTCAGTCCAGTGATCAACATCATGAGCATCGATCTACGCATTTGGGATACGATGACATGTGTCAACCCAGTCAGCGAGCCTGACCACCCGATCCCGTTAGTCACCTCTTACGACAAGCATGGGTTCCTGAGGATCAGTTCTAACCCGGATCTTCACTGGTCGATTTGTTGTGTTTATTAACCTGGCATAAACACGATACCATCATGTGTTCCTGTATATATTTCTTTCAGTATATGATCGGAACACAAAACCAGCTGAATTTGATGCCATCCATCTGAAAACATTTGAAATAGATCTCAACCTTAGTCTATAAAACGGACTTAGTAACCACTCCATGTACATCAGTAGACGATGAAGGACTTGTTCGTGTTGTAGTAGGTTGACTGTCTGGGTGCAGCTGTTGCTTGAACGTCCGCGGACGTTGCTGTGACGGCATGTGGCGATGCCGCTACCTCGGGTTGAGCTGTGGGTTTCACAGAGGTTAATATGTATGTATGAGCACAAGATCAATTATCATCGCCGACACTGGTTTGGCAGATGAATCAGCTTCAGATATCCACTCCTGACTTTTAAGTCAAAGATGAATCTTGATTGAACGACTTTAGTGGCGTCATGTCAAAATGATCATCCATTCTTGAAAGCCAGAAACCTGATAAAAAAGCCATTAATGCCCATCTCCTGTCTCGGAGAAATCCTACAATCCCCCGACACATCTTTGATCCATTACGGCAGTTTGTCAGAATTATCCGTGATATTGACATATGTATATACGTCAGGCTGCATCGACTCATCGCTCTGCTTCATCCCGCCGACAGTCTGCCAGACTGCCTGCTGCAGCGCCAGTGATAGCCAGCTCTACCCGACTTGAGAGGAGTACGCTGTCAGAGGCTGTACGTGTTTTCATCGATCTCATTAACCGTTACCTGGTAATTGTCGTGTGGCAGTTGTTGGTGATGGACTGCGACGTCTCATCAATCGTTGCTTCATGCTGTCTATACTTGTCTGCCACCGCAGTCAACGTTACTGCAACGCCGACATCAACGGTGACGAATTACACACCTTACAGCAATTAACGCACTTCTTCTGTTACACCTGCAGTGTCTTTAATGTCATTAGGTAGTTAGGTAATGGATCATCCATCATAGTTCTGGCTGGGACTTCGTGTTTTCGGATAGCGTCAAGTATTTCCACTCGACGTTGCATCGTGTAACTTGTTACCTGTGGAAAAAACGACACACTAATCTGATCAAGCTGTTTACCTCAACGAGGGTCATTTCTACTAAATCGCATTACATTGGTTTTTTGTACTAGAGATTACGACCAAATACATCCAATAAAAAGCATTACTTTTTTAGGTGCTAAGCTGGATAAATCAAGCCCACTGGTTCTACAGCAAGGGTTTCTCGTGTATAATAATCCGATAATGACTGCAGCGTCTGTGTTGGAGAGTTGTAGTGTGCCTCAATCATTCCCCCTACAATGTGGAAATAACAGCATCAAAATCTAGATCCTTTTTGTGTTGTGGAAAAGCGGTAAGGCCAACAAATAGCATTTCCCTCTCAGACCACTTCGTCAAGCTCATCCGGGCTTCAGACGTTGAGGGCAGACGATGAGGGAACTCGGAGGCCGCCATGATGAATCTGACTAGACTGAGGGTCGCGCCTACAACTGTACATCTGTCCCATGCTCAATGTGTTTCAGTCAAAGATGTACCCAAAGTCATTTCTTTAGTCGAGTATTGAGTAGATCATGGATAACACTAATGCGTCTGACGTGAAAACTGGCTGCGGTTTATTATACTACTCCATACGACCTTCAAAAAGAATGGTTTTGCAATCTTATCGTGCGGAGAAAAATTGCACGAAAAGGACATTTTGTCACGCTTAAAGTAGATAGGTGTCAGATATCAATCTGTTTGGTCAATGAACCAGCCGCTTTATCATTCAACGGGGGTTACAGTCCCTTTGTTTCCGTTATCAATGTCACTTTGGCCATAATTTGGACGCAAACCATTCTTCTAGAATCTGCCAAATTTGTACTTCTATGGAGTATATTCAGCGTTATATTTCGAGGTAACGATGTCAATTAAACGCCTGTCTATCAGTGAGCTGGGAGCATTACTACACTACTCACTCACTCCCATGGGATGACAATACCGTCAATAGGCACTACTTCCAGACTCCCATGGGATGACGATACCAGTCAGTAGGCACTACTTCCAGACTCCCATGGGATGACGATACCGTCAATAGGCACTACTTTCAGACTCCCATGGGATGACGATACCAGTCAATATTAACTACTTTCAGAATCCCATGGGATGACAATACCAGTCAATATTAACTACTTTCAGACTCCCGTGTGATGACAATACCAGTCAATACAAACTACTTTCAGACTCCCATGAGATGACGATACCAGTCAATACAAACTAATTTCAGACTCCCATGAGATGACGATACCAGTCAATATTCACAACTTCCAGAATCCCATGAGATGACGATACCAATCAATATTCACTACTTCCAGAATCCCATGGAATGACAATACTAGTCAATAGGCACTACTTCAAGAATCCCATGGGATGACAATACTAGTCAATAGGCACTACTTCCAGAATCCCATGGGAGGACAATACCAGTCAAAAGGCCCTACTTCAAGAATCCCATGGGATGACAATAGCAGTCAATATAGGCACTACTTCCAGAATCCCATGGGATGACAATACCAGTCAATATAGGCACTACTTCCAGAATCCCATGGGATGACAATACCAGTCAATATAGGCACTACTTCCAGAATCCCATGGGATGACAATACCAATCAATAGGCCCTACTTCCAGAATCCCATGGGATGACAATACCAGTCAATATAGGCACTACTTCCAGACTTCCAGAATCCCATGGGATGACAATACCAGTCAATATAGGCACTACTTCCAGAATCCCATGGGATGACAATACCAATCAATAGGCACTACTTCCAGAATCCCATGGGATGACAATACCAGTCAATATAGGCACTACTTCCAGAATCCCATGGAGGACAATACCAGAATCCCATGGGATAACAATACCAGTCAATATAGGCACTACTTCCAGAATCCCATGGGATGACAATACCAGTCAATAGGCACTACTTCAAGAATCCCATGGGATGACAATACCAGTCAATAGGCACTACTTCCAGAATCCCATGGGATGACAATACCAGTCAATATAGGCACTACTTCCAGAATCCCATGGGATGACAATACCAGTCAATAGGCACTACTTCCAGAATCCCATGGGATGACAATACCAGTCAATAAAGGCACTACTTCCAGAATCCCATGGGATGACAATACCAGTCAATAGGCACTACTTCCAGAATCCCATGGGATGACAATACCAGTCAATATAGGCACTACTTCCAGAATCCCATGGGATGACAATACCAGTCAATAGGCACTACTTCCAGAATCCCATGGGATGACAATACCAGTCAATATAGGCACTACTTCCAGAATCCCATGGGATGACAATACCAGTCAATAGGCACTACTTCCAGAATCCCATGGGATGACAATACCAGTCAATCAATATAGGCACTACTTCCAGAATCCCATGGGATGACAATACCAGTCAATAATACAGGCAGTAGGCACTTCTTCCAGAATCCCATGGGATGACAATACCAGTCAATATAGGCACTACTTCCAGAATCCCATGGGATGACAATACCAGTCAATATAGGCACTACTTCCAGAATCCCATGGGATGACAATACCAGTCAATATGCACTACTTCCAGAATCCCATGGGATGACAATACCAGTCAATATAGGCACTACTTCAATAGAAGAATCCCATGGGATGACAATACCAGTCAATATGGGATGACAATACCAATCAATAGGCACTACTTCAGAATCCCATGGGATGACAATACCAGTCAATAAAGGCACTACTTCCAGAATCCCATGGGATGACAATACCAGTCAATAGGCACTACTTCCAGAATCCCATGGGATGACAATACCA